CACCATATCCAACATCGAGGGATGCTGCGGGACAAGAGGGCACCATATCCAGCATCGAGGGATGCTGCGGGACACGAGGATGCCACACGATGCACCGGAGCGGCTGCGCTTGCGGATCGATCACCGTGTGATTTAGTGCTGCCAGCTCCGCGCGTGCGCGGGGACGCGAAGCAGCACACGGGGCACCACAGAGAGTGAACTTTTATTTCCAACAACGACAGCACCTGCCCCGTGGCGGGGGGGCTGGTGGGGAGGGCCGGTGGGGACACGTCCCCCCGCCGCGGCGCGTGCACACGGTGCACTGCGTGAAGAAACATCCCGCCGGGAAGGAGAAGGAGGATGCGCGGGCGGCCGGCCCTGCCCCGTGCGCAGGCAGGGTGCCCGCGTGTGCAGCGTGGAGGGTGCAGGGGGGCCGCGCGCGCCCTTCCCGGGCGGCAGCGAGCCGGGGTGCACGCGGGGCTCACACCTCCGTCTGGAAGTCGCCGTCGGCGCCGTTGGCGCCATCCCAGGCGGCGCGGCGCAGCTCGAGCCGCTCGCGCGGGCCGCTGGGCAGCGCGCCCAGCGTCATGGCCTTGAAGGCGCTCCAGGGCTTCGGCGGCGGCTCCTCGGGGCCGCCCGCGTCCTGCGGGGCGCGCGGAGCGGGATGCAGCGGCGCGCGGGGCGCCCGGCCCGCGCCCCTGTCCCCGTGCCCCACGCGGTGACACTTACGCCGGCTGCGCTCTTCTCGCCGCCGCCCGACGAGACGCTCCACCGCTTCTCTCGCTGCAAGACAGGGCCCTGCTCAGCGCGCCCACCCCCGCGCATCCCCGGGGACGCGGAGCAGCGCGGGGTGCAGCGGGGACCCTCACCTTGGAGGCACCAGTGGCCGGCGCCCGGTACCGGTCGAGCGTGTGGAACTTCTGGTTGAGCTCGTGGTAGAGCTCGGAGTGCCGCTTCCGTGTGTGCATCACCTTCTGCAGGGCGAGAGGGGACCCGCTGCGGTGGGTCCCGGCCAGCCCCAGCCCCCTGGCTCGCTGCCTCTGGGTGCCATCCCCGGGTATCGGGGAGCCCCCCCCGGTCAGGGCTCCCGGGGAGCCGGTGAGTCCCGGTCCCACCGTGCTGTGTCCAGGGATGCCCTGTACAAAGCTCACCTCGAAATCCAGGTCGGAGTATCGTAACCGCTTCCTCTGGCGGGGCACGTGCGGGAGCGGAGCAGGGAGGAGGCAGGAGGAGAGGAACAACAAAACAGAGAGGTCCTTACACACCGGGTGGGCACCGGGGGGTCCCAGGAGCTGCCTGGGCCACCTGGCCCAGTTGGGGGACATGCCAGCCCCTCTGCCCAGGGAGCAATGCAAGCCCCAAGAGAAGAGACAAGCCCAAGCCATGGGACAACTTGTGCAAACTTGCTTGGGCATGCTTGTGCATGCTGGTGGATGCTTGTGCCTGCTCGTGTTGCACGCTCCTGCAATTTTGGGCACCCTTTAAGTGCTTGTGCATGCTTGTGGATACCTGTGCATGTTCCTGCAAGGTTGTACATGCTTGTGCCTGCTCGTGCATGCTCGTGGATACTTGTGAATGCTCCTGCATGCTAATGCATGCTTGTGGACACTTGTGCCTACCCATGTTGCACACTCCTGCAATTTTGTGCGCGTTCATATGTGCTTGTGCTTGCTCATGCATGCTTGTGCAAGCTCCTGCAAGTTTGTGCATGCTGGTGCCTGCTTGTGCATGCTCGTGGATAATTGTGCATGCTCCTGCAAGTTTGTACATGCCTATAGATGCTTGTGCAGTCTTGCGTATGCTCTCTGCAGCCTTGGGCCTCCTCTCACAAGGGTTTCCTCCCCTCCCACACCCGCGTCTCCGTGGGTGCCCGCGCTCACCTCCAGGGACCCCACTTTCATGGTGGAGCCGGGCACGGTGCGGGGCATGGTGCGGCTGCGCTCCGAGAGCTCTGAGGCCAGGATCTGCCGCACGCTGGGGTGCTGCTTGAACTGGAGGCCGTAAGGGCGCTTGAGCGTCCCGTAGGGCTGGCTCAGGCTGGCGGCCACGTGCTCCACCGCCACGAAGCCCGGGTAGGCGTCCCCGTCGGCGCCGGGCCGCCCCGTGCCGCCCGGCCCGTCCTCGGCGCCGGCGCTCCGCTGGCTCTCGTCGCGCTGGAAGGGCTTGAGGCTGCCCGAGCGCCGCGGCAGCACCATGTAGTCGCTCTCGAGCGGCGATTCCTGCAGCCAGCCGTACTCCGCCGGGCGCAGGGTGCCCTCCGGGCACAGGTACACGGGGCCCTGCGCCTCCAGGCCGGCACTCTTGGCCGGCGCCTCGGCGAGCTCGCCCAAGCCGGCCACCACGTTGGGCGTCATGGTGGGCACCTGCACCAGGATGCTGGAGGGCGGCGGGATGTTGCCGGGCAGGCTGGAGAAGCCGAGGGCGCCCTCGGAGCTGCTGCTCAGCTTGGGCTCTTCGTCGCCGTCCAGCGAGATGCGGGACAAGGTGCCCGTGATGGTGGCGGGGTTGCAGGTGCTCACCTCCTTGAAGAGCACTGCGGGTGGGAGCGCGTCAGGGGCGCCGGGCCGCGGCGCCCGCCGGGCCCCTCGCCGCGAGCGCCCTACCTGTCTGGCACGCCAGGTCAACGTCCTTTTCAAAATCTGTCTATAAAAACACAGAAAGAGGGGAAAAGGGAGGGAAAGGGAGCAAGGAGAGAGGGGCATGAATGTATCTGGGTGGCAGCAGAGCAAGCGGGGCCGCGCGGGGCTCCGGCGCGGGCGCTGCCGCCGCGCTCACCAGGATCTGCACCTGCCCGTTCTTGCAGGAGTCGGGCGAGTTTTCGTTCTCCTCGCTCCTGCACCCCCCCACCTGGCACTTCACCACGTCCTGGACCTGGGGAGGGGGGGGACAGGGGCGGTGAGGGGCCGGCGGGCGCCGGCGGCGGCGCTCCGGGGCTCGCCGCTGCCGCTCGCACCTCGCGGCGCAGGAAGCCGTGCACGGTGATGATGACGAAGCCCTGGACGGAGTTGAAGACGGCGAAGAGGACCTGGAAGAGGATGGAGCGCCGGTCGGTCATGGCGAGCACGGCCGACATCCAGGTCAGCGCCAGCAGGGGCAGGACCACGCAGGAGCTCCACAGCGATGCCCTGCGGCAGGGAGAGAGGCGCCGGGTGAGCCGGGCACCGCCGGGACGGCCTCGGAGGCTCCCGGCTCGCTCCGGAGCGGTGCCGCTGCCTCGCCGCACGCTCAGCCGTGCGTGGAGCTGCACGGAGCCGGCACGCGCTGCACGGAGGCATCGGCTCCGGCGTCCCGGAGCCCGGAGCACGCGGGCGCTGGCGACACAGCAAAGATGCTCCTGCATCCCCCAAGCGCACGGCAAGTCCGGGCTCGGGAGCAACCACAAAGCAAGGGGTTCGGCAGCACTCTGGGAGCTGCTCCGGTTCCAAGCACCCCAGGGACACATCCCCGGAAGGGAGGTCCCAGAGACACCCCATCCCAGGGCCACGGTGCAAGAGGACCGCGGAGAGGAGCGGAGCCGCCCGCGCGCCCGGCCCCGGCGATGAGGTGACGTGCAGCAAGCCATGCAGACGTGATGGCCGGCGCCCGCAGCGGCTGTCCCCGTCCCGCCCCGTGCCGGTGCCCCCGCCGCGGTGCCCGCGGGCACTAACATGGCGTTGCTGGCGGTGGCCGAGGTCCCGGCGGCGCTGGACACCACGCCGCACTTGGTGCATTTCAGCAGCAGGCTGCCGCACGGCGGCGGCTCCGGCCTGCGCGGCCCGCGCGCCCCCCCGGCGCGCCGCCCCCGCCGGCACCGGCACCGGCACGAGCGAGCAAGGGACGCATGGATGCACAGACAGGCGGATGGATGGATGGGCACCGGCAGAAAGCGAACGGAGGAAGAAAAGAGAAAGAGAGCGCGGGGTTAGTGGGGCGGCCGCAGCGGTTAATGAAGCCGGGGGGCCAAGCGCGGAGCAGGGATGGGGCGCAGGGCTGGGGGCTCCGCGGCTCCCCCTTCCTGCTGGGAAGCACCGGGGGCGGCTGCTGCCCCCGTCCATCCCCCCTGGGCGAGGGTCTCGCTGCCTCCGGGCTTGGCGCCCACCGCTCACAAGTGACACGAGGTCTGTGGCAGCCTCAGCCTGCGGCGGGCAGGGGCTGGGCGCCGGGGGGAGCCGCCTGCCCGCGCCCCCCGTGTCCCCGGGCGGCACTTACCCGGCTCGCTGCTTTTTGGACTTATCTGAAATGCCGTCCCGGGCCATGAGCTTGTTGAAGACGATGATGCCCACCAGCATGTTCACCTGGGGCGGAGCAGAGCCCGGGTGAGGGCGGGCGCCGCCGCGGGGGCCGCGAGCCCTGTCCCCCCATTTGCCGTCCCCCCCGGGTGGGTAAAGGCACCTACGAGGACGATGACGGCGGCGGGTCCCACGAAGGCGTAGAGCAAACCGCCCTCGAGCGAGAGCCAGCAGCTGCGGAGGGGCAACGGGGAGCGTCGGCGGCGCCGTGCCCGGCTCCGTGCCGCTCGCGGGCCGCCCGCCGCGCGCCCCGGCCCCACGTACTAGCTCGCCGTCCCGTAGCCCTTGGTGCGCGTGAAGCCCACGGAGACGGCGACCACGAGGGCCGGCAGACCTGCGAGGGAGCGGGCACGGGGCTGCGGCGGCCGCCCCGGCGCGGGGACCCCGCGGGCGGCACCGTGCCCCGTTTGTCCTTACCCCAGCCCAAGCAGAGGAAGCGCTTGCGGACCAGGCGCGCCCGGATGCGCCCGATGACGGCCAGGTAGGACTGCCAGGCCTCTGTGAGCACCCAGCAGAAGGACGAGAGGAAGAAGAAGTGCAGGAAGGCGGCCGTCATGGTGCACACACCCTGCGGGGACGCGGCACGTCAAGGCCACCAAGCCCCGGGGGGCACCAGCTCACAGGGCAGACGTGCCAGTCGTGCCGGGATGCAGCGATCGTCGGGGACCGTCCCCATAACCTGCCCGGCGCCGCGGCGGTTAAGCTCCCCCCGCGCGGACCAGGTTTGTGTCCGAACCACCAGCGCAAAGAATTTAATCCCAAGATTGAGTTAATCCAAATGAAATCTGCTCCGGGGAGGCGGCAGGGTCGGCGCGAGCAGCCGCCAAGATAAGGCGCGACGGGAGCGGCCGCGGCGCCCGCCTGGCACCGGGCTCAGCAGGCTGCCCGCGGGGCTCCTGCAGCCTCGCGCACCCCCCTGCGAAACACAGCGCCCGTCCCCACGGCATCCCTGTCCCCACGGAGCAGCGTTCGGCGCCCTGGTCCCCACCGGAGCGGGATGGGTCCTGCCCGGTGCCGGAGCCGAGGGCAGGGGGGTCCCGGCTGCCCTCACCTTGCTGAGCATCTGGGACTGGCCCACGAGGATGAGGACGTTGGAGGCCAGGATGGAGAGGCAGAAGTTGAGCAGGATGATGGAGCGCTCCGACTTGATGAACCTGCGGCGGGGAGCAGCATGGAGCCGGGGGCCACACCACGTGGGGACAGCAGGGACAGCACCCACGGCGTGTCCACAGCATCCCCCCTGCCCTAATGCCCCAGGCTGCTTCTGTCCAGGAAGGGTGCGTTTAATCAGGGCGCTGCGCCCCCCTTGCCACCCAACCCCCCCCGTGCGTCCCCGGGGTGTCCCTAGGGTGTCCCCAGCGCGCCGCTGTCACCTCCAGAAGGCAGCGTAGATGACCAGCAGCGTCAGCAGGGCCACGCAGGACACGGCGCAGCCGATCACCAGCGGCACCGACGGGGTGCCCGACGGGTCCATGGCCTGGTGGGAACAGGGGCAGAGGCTGAGAGCGCCCTGGGGGGCCAACTGCCAGGCTCTGCACCCCCCGAGCTGCCCCCCATGGGCTCGGGGTGCCCGGGGACCAGGGCTCGGCGCTGCCACGGCGCATTCCCAGGGACCGCTGCCCATCTCCCGGCCGACGGGGATGCGGCTGGAATAGCAATGGGGGCCATGCGGGCGGGAAGGGGCCCCTGGCAGCACCGCCCCGTCCCGTCCATCCCGGCGTCACCGTCCCTCCCCTTGTGCATCCGGGACCCCCTTGTGCATCCAATGGTCCTGGAAGTGGTGCCCAGCAAAATCCCCATCCCTCGGCATGGGAATTGCACCCCCCCGGGCAAGACGCAACTGCTGGCAGCCCCGAGTCTCCATCCGGCACCTACCAGGTCCCTGGGCAGCTGGGCGAGGACGGCGAAGGTGGAGAGCTGGCGGCACTGGCATTTGGTGTGTGCCGGGAGGGTCTCCAGGGTTTGGCAGCTCTCCGTGTCCCAGTTTCCCAAGCCAGCATCCCTGATTAATGGGACGAGAGCGAGAGGGAGAGCAATTGGAAATGATCAAACGCACGCGCAGCCCCTCACGCCTTCGCCGCCTTAACCCTTTGCTGGCACCTGCCCTGAAGAGGCCGGGAAATGGGATGATCCCGAGCTGGACACCAGGCAAAAGTCCCCCCAGGGCCCCCACGTGGATCCCTTTGGAGCAGGAGAGCCAGAGGCTCTGTGTTGTGCGGGAGGAAGGAGGCCAGGGGCAGCAGAGGGGGTGCAGGGATGCAGGAGTGCAGGGATGGAGGGATATGGGGATGGAGGGATGCAGGGATGCAGGGATGGAGGGGTGCAGGGATTCAGACAGCGGTGCTCCCGCTCCCTCCACTCCCGCAGGCACTGGGGAAGGCAGGAGCAGAACCGGGGGGTTCCCAGAGCTGCCCGCAGCCCTTCCCAGCCCGGCAGGAGCTGGCGCCCTATTTCCCAAGGCAAATTCCCCTGGGGAGACACTGGCTGCCCGGAGCAGCGCTGGCAGAGCAGTCCCGGCTTCCAGTGAGCCACAAAACCAGGGAACTGGGTCTGTGGGGCAGCAGCAGCTCAGCCCCTGGGGCTGCCTGCACCACGGGCCGGGCTGAGACCTGCCACGCTCATCACAGCCACACTGCCCATGACCGCAGGGCAGGAGCAGCCTCCCCAGGGGGGCTGCACTGGCTCAGCAACACCAAGCTGGTGACCCCGGAGCGGGGACCAGAGGGATGCGGCCGTCCCCCCCGCCGTGCCCTACTTTGCCAAAAGCGCCCGTGCTAATAAATTGCATGTGGCAGGCCGGAGGCATCCGTCTCCGGCGTCAAGCAGAGCAAAATCGATAGCAAAAAAAAAAAGAAAAGAAAAAGAAAAGGAATAAAACAGCCCTCGGGGCCCCCCTTGCAGCATCGCCCACCCGGCCCCGGTGTCCCCGCTGTGTCACACTCACGTCCTTGAGTAGTCCCAGGCGACGCACTGCGGGTGGGACGTGCCCTGCCGACAGAGGGACGAGGGGCTGAGCACACGGCACGAGCCGGCGCCTGGCACGGAGCCCTGGGCACGGCGAGGCGAGCGGGGGACACTCACGTTGACGACGTGGGACAGCTCCACCAGGACGAGGGGCGCCGCGGGCTTGGTGGGCGGCCGCACCGTCACCATGAGCACCTTGGAGGTGACGGCCAGGGGCGTCCTGCGGCACGAGGCGCTGGCGGTGAGCGGGCAGCGCCGGGCCCGCCTCGGCCCCGCTGGCCCCGTCCCTCCGCGCTCACCTGGGCGGCGGCAGGATGAGCCCCAGCGTGCGGTACAGCACGGCCCCGATGACGAAGTGGGACGACTCGTCCATCTCTGCAGGGAGCGAGCGGCGCTGTGAGCTCAGGCTGCACGCGGGGCAAGCTCAAGGCGTCCCGATGCGATGTCCATGGATCCCATGGGATCCCCAGCACCGGAACCGGAGCGCACGGAGAGCCGGCAGCATGCAGGCACAGCTATGCTCACACATGCAAGCTCAGCCATGTGTGTGCTTGCTCGCGTGCATGCTCACACCTCCACGTTCCCTCATGTGCATGCTCACGTGCAAGCTCACACATGTGCATGCTCCTCCATATGCATGCTCACACCACCATGCTCACCCATATGCATGCTCACATGTGCAAGCTCACACGTGTGCATGCTCACCCTTGTGCATGTTCACACGTGCAAGCTCACACATGTGCATGCTCCTCCATGTGCATGCTCACACCACCATGCTCACCCATATGCATGCTCACATGTGCAAGCTCACACGTGTGCATGCTCACCCTTGTGCATGTTCACACGTGCAAGCTCACACATGTGCATGCTCCTCCATGTGCATGCTCACACCACCATGCTCACCCATATGCATGCTCACATGTGCAAGCTCACACGTGTGCATGCTCACCCTTGTGCATGTTCACACGTGCAAGCTCACACATGTGCATGCTCCTCCATGTGCATGCTCACACCACCATGCTCACCCATATGCATGCTCACATGTGCAAGCTCACACGTGTGCATGCTCATACGCATATGCTCACCCTTGTGCATGCTCACACATGCAAGCTCACACGTGTGCATGCTCACAGCACCATGTTCACCCACATTCATGCGCACACGTGCAAACTCACACGTGTGCATGCTCACTCCACCATGCTCACCCTTGTGCATGCTCACACGTGCAAGCTCACACATATGCATGCTCACACGTGCAAGCTGCCTCCCATGCACACTCGCACACACATGCACAGCCTCGCGCGGACCTCAGCGCTGCCTTACCGGCCGAGGAGAGGCTCAGCACCTCCTTGGGGATGAAGAGCTTGTCCTCGGAGTTGCGCGCCCAGTCCTTCATGCCCCGCCGCCCCTTCATGGGGAAGTTGATGTCGCTGGAGACGGCCGAGACGGGCTCCCTCTGGATGCTGATCACTGCGGGCAGGGCGGGCGTCAGCGGGGCCGGCGGGCGCTCCGGCTCGCGCCCGGCCCTGTGCTCACCCAAGTTGTCGGTGACGATGAGGGAGCTCTGGAAGGCCTTGAGCGCGTCACCCACCAGGTGGATGAAGTCCTCCACCACCTTCATGAGGTGCACGGAGCCGGGCGAGACCTGCGGGCGCGGGACAGGACCCAATTCCAGCAGTGTTTGGGAAGGTGCCCCGAATTCCATGCCTGGATTCGGATACCCACTGGGAATGCCGGTGCCATCCCGGTTCCCAGCTCACCTGCTGTGCGTCCTCCCACTTGTCCCGGTTCTCGGCATCCACCATGTAGCTCACCACCTGGAAGAAGCGCTGCAGAGCCAGGGGGTCAGCAGCGCTGGGGACACACAAGGGGACGGCGGCGGGGTGGGCGCGCGGCGCCGCTACCTGCACGTCCTCGGCCGAGGGGGTGTAGGTGGCCCTCTTGAAGGTGTCGGTGACGTTGCGCAGGATCTCCACGGAGAAGAGCAAGTCCCCGCTGTAGTAGGTCCTGCGGGCCACCAGCTCGAGCAGGCTGCGCACCACCTGCGACATGCCCTCGCCCGCCAGCACCCGCTGCCCCTTGGCCAGGTGCTCCCGCAGCTGCCGGCGGGGACAGGGGTGTCACCCGCCGCCCGCCCCGCCGTGCACCCCGGCGCAGCCGGGAGCACTCGCTGGAGGAGCTGCCGCGGGGGACACGGCAGGGACAAGGGGGTCCCCACTTCCCCATGCACCCCCGCTTCCCCATGCACCCCCATGCACATTTAGGGGTGCCGGCGGTTTGGGAAGGGGGGCGCCTCGCCCCGGCGGGCACCTACTGAGAGATGCAAGTATCGGTACTCGTGGGAGACGCAGCGGGCGAAGCTGGGCAGCCCCCAATAGGCCACCCCCTGGGCGCTGAGCAGGCACCGGCGGCTCGCGGACCCTGCGCCGCAAAAACAGGGTGACTGGAGTTGGCACCGGTCCCCGTGCGCTCCCCCTGCAGCGGGGGAGCCCGGCGCCACCCCACCGCGGCCACCCCTCACCGGTGGCATTGGGGGGACACTTGTTGTAGATGACGTCCCCGGCGGCCGTTTTCTTCCACGTCATCAGCATCACGTACTCGTCCTTGCACATCTCGTGGTAGGCTGCAAAGCGGGGGACACGGCAACACGGCGGGACGTGAGCGGCGCCGCGGTGCCCGGGGCCGTCCCGGGGCCGCGCCGGGGCTACCTGGGCACTTCTTCTCGTTGCACGTCTTCACCTCCTCGCCGGTGCCCTCGCAGGGGTAGCCCTGCACGCCGGTGCCCTGGCACATGCGGAAGCGCCGCTGCCAGCCCGTGTCGCACGTCTTGGAGCAGAGGCTCCAGTGGTTCCAGGGGCCCCACTTGCTGTCGGCTGCAGGGACGGCACCGCCGTGAGCGCCCGGCACGGGGCTCTGGCCCCATCTCCCACCACCACTATGGGGGCATCCAGGGGCGCAATGGGAACCCGGGGTCTGTCCTGGTGTCCCCCTTGCAGGGATGCAGCGTGTGTGGGGACCTGTGGGCTGCCCCCTGCCCTGTGCAGGACGTGGGCCGGGTGTTTCCAGACCGCTTGCAGCAGCCGTGTGGCAGGTAACAGTCACCCGGTGTGTGACACCCCTGCCGTCAGCTCCACGCAACCATGAGCTCCTGTGCACACAAAATGCACCCAGATGGGTGCTGCGGGTGGCAGGACCCGGTGCACGGACCTTGCAGGGCTCATAACTCCCTCAGGAGGCCACATCGATGAGGGGACGGAGGCGGTGGCGGATGCGTCACCGCGCCAGGGTCCACGCTCAGCACGGGCTGAGTCAGCCGAGACACGGGGTGGGCGAGCACCCGGAAGGGGGGCCGAGGACACGGCACGGATCCCCCGCTCTTCCGGCTGGGATGCGCCCAAGGAGGAGGAAGCGAGACGCGGGAGACGGCTGCAAATCCGCGGCATCGCCCCCGTGTTCCCGCTCTCTGTGCATCCAGCACGGAGGGAGCACAGGAATTGCTTGCTGATGGCAAGACAGGAGCCTTGGGGGTGATGTTGACCGGCCGCGTGCTGCTGTGCCATGCACTGGTGTATTGCATGCTGGCGAGCAACGCACTGACGTGTTGCACGCCGGTGAGCAATGCACTGGCATGCTGCATGCAGTTGTGCCGTGCATCTGTGTGTTGCACGCATGCAAGCAACGCACCAGCATGCTGCATGCTGCTGTGCTATGCACCAGCGTGATGCATGCATGCAAGCAATGCACCGGCATGCTTCATGCAGTTGTGCCATGCACCAGTGTGATACATGCATGCATGCAATGCATCGGCATGCTGCATGCAGTTGTGCCATGCACCAGCACGTTGCATGCATGCAAGCCACGCACCAGCATGCCACACGCTGCCGTGCCACGCACCAGCGTGTTGCACGCATGCAAGCAATGCATGCTGCCACGCCATGCACCAGCACATTGCACCCTGGGGTGCGATGCAGTGGCGAGGTGCACGCGCCACCCTGTCCCCCTTGCCCAGCGCGCGCGGGGCCTTACTGGGGCATGCGGGGTTGGAGCACTCCCTGGCGTCGGCGTGCGCCCCGCGGCACTCGGCCCAGCCGTGGGCCGCCACGCTGCACTTGCGCGTGCGCTGCTGCGTGCCGTTGGAGCAGCTCACGGAGCAGCGGCTCCACGCGCCCCACTCCAGCCACTGGCCCTCCACTGCGGGGAACACAGGAGCGCGTGTCAGTCCCCGCCACCGGGGTCCCCGTCCCAGCCCGCGGCCCTTCGCCTGCTTGAGGGGCAACGTGCGGGCGCTGCGGGCTCCGCTTGGGCAAATGCAGCCCGGATGAACCAGTGCAAGTCCCTGGCACTGCTCCCTGCAATGCTGCCGCTTGCCAGCCCGCTCAGGTGGCCCCAGCTCCACGTGCTGGCCGGGCTCGGCAGCGATGTCCCGGCCACGCCACGCTCCTGTGTGGCCAGTGGGACCCACGCCACCCCTGAGCACTGTAGTGGGTGCTCTGCAAACCGAGCAACCTCAGCAGACTCCAGTGGTGCTTCCTGGCACTTCCCAGGACACAGGGACGGGGTCCCCAGCGCCCTGCTGAACCCCATGGTCTGTCAGACCCCAGCAGGATGACACGCATGGACCCCAGTGCGGGCACACAGGCAGCCCCAACATCTCTGCGTGACCCAGGGCTCACCACAGGCACCAGCCTCCTGCTGCGCCCTGCCCTTGGAAGCCACCAGTGGGCACCAGCAGGGCCAGGGGCTCCATTCGGATCATCCAAGCGATGGGGGCTGCGCCCATTCCTGGTGCCACCCCAGAGAGGCGGGAATCTGCACACATACCCCATTGCAACAGTCAGGAAACTCCTGCATCACCCCCCCAGCATCACCCCCGTTCCAACACAGACGGGACCCTCCGAGCACGGGGACCCCCCCCGTGCCGTGCGTCCCCATCGCATCCCCAGGACCCTCCGAGCACGGGGACCCCCCCGCGCCGCGGTTCCCCCCCGCGTCCCCGCGCCGCCGGTACCTGGGCAGGTGGCCGTGTTGTTGCAGGCGCGCGTCTCGCGCAGCAGCCCGCTGCACAGCGTCCCGTAGGGCGAGGAGACGCAGGAGCGCGTGCGCACCTGCGAGCCCTGCCCGCACGTCAGCGAGCACACGCTCCACTGCGACCACTCCTCGGCCGCCGGGTCCCCTGCGCGAGAGACGCGTGCCAGGCGCGGGACAGCGCGCGGAGCATCCCGCGGATCCGCCGCGTCCGGAGCCGCTCCCGTGGGAGAGCGCGCGGAGCATCCCGCGGATCCGC